TAGGATTTAAGGGTTTGGGGGTTTAGGGTTTAGTGGTTTAGGGTTTAGGGGTTTGGGGTTAGATGTTCAGGGGTTCAGGGTCTAGGGTTTACCAAGATTACTGCCCAGGGTGCCTTCTTTGTGAGACATAGTATATTATATGGAGTTTGAAGACCTGAAACTAGCATCCCGCGTGGCAGTGGAAGAATACGGAGCAACTGTCCACTGGTTTAGGGTTCACGTTTAGGGTTAAGGGCCTGGGTGAGGGTTCAGCGAACGGTTTAGGGGTTTGAGGGTTTAGGGTAGGGGGCATAGGATGTCTCTTCTCTCAGACATCTCGACCATGCATGTCATATCATCAATCAACTATTAACCCTAAACCCTAAACCCTAAACCTTAAACCTTAAACCTTAAACCCTAGACGATGTTGGTCATCTAAGGTTCTCTGGCTGGCAGATGGCAAATCGCTGGCGCGCGAAAGACTTCAAACGAGTCTCGGAGAAGCGAGTCGAAAGCACCACCCCAAACGAAGCAGTGCATTGGCCTAATATGGGCGCCTTAATAACTGCCCATACTATTTTGGGGGTTTCTTAACGGTTTCTGATTAATAGTATAGCATTCCCCGAAACCCTATTCTAGTTATAAAGGCCCCTACATTACATACTTACCAATTCTATTCTGGGGCTCCTTATTACAGTTTTGAAACATGGTATATTATCGTATAATATACGCCAAAACCCTATTCTAAGTATGAAGGCGCCTATATTGCGAAGAGGGCAGGTTGCCCCGGAAACCTGACTGTAGAGTTTTCACGTTGCGTTTGTCATCCTCCTGCGTCTTTCGATTTTTACCTGAGCCCTAAACCCTAAACTGCCGAGAGCGTCGCTGACTATTTGCATGGGCGCTCGAGGCTCCGACCGAGGCCCCAGGCCGAGTGTCCTTGTCAGAATAATGAGGGAGGGTAAACGGTTTAGGGTTTAGGGTTTAGGGTTTAGGGTTCCCGGTAGACGAGGACTGTGGTGAACACCCCGCAAATGACCTCTCTGCAACAGGGAAACCCTTGCGTCTCGTCGAGCGGCCAAAGGCCGCGAGGACCCACAACCCGATACCTGTCCATCTCAGCTGTGTCTTGCCCTAATAGAAAATAGTTGGGGTGGGACTACATTGTGACTGCATGCTGACGCAAGCGCGCTCTGCGTGCACACTGTATACACACCCTACGCCCCAAACGCTAAACTGGCAGAACACCAGCAAAGGAGATTTGGAGGGCGAATTCGCACCGAATCTGACCAACACCGCAGCTGGGCCGCACTGAACCAACCAAGGCAGTCGCAAGGTTGCGACGGCAGATGCGACAACGGTCGAAGGACTCTGGTAGCAACATGTGGTAGTGTTTATTGCTGCCGGCATTAAGTCGTTCGAACTAGAAAAAACCGTCAGAAGTGGCTCTGGAGAGGATTAGATAGGATTGGAGATAGTCTGCTACCAATTTCGGGCCCCCCCCCCCCCCCCCCCTGCCCCCCCTTCCGGGCCCTGTTCAGGCTTCCCACGGGCCCCTTGCCTACAGGGTTTTCTTTCTGACAGTTTTGGTGTTTTGTTGGGTCGATTTTTTGATGTGTGTGAGACTCATTCTGGGTTTCTTTCGAGTCATTTTCCGGGTCCAAGCATGGGTGTGAGGCCTGATTCCTGGTGTTCTTGAGGGTTTAGAATTTTGGATGTTTTTTGTTTTGCTTCGGGAAGGCATAAGACAAGTTGGGAAGCGAACGACTTTATGAATGCCAGCCATCAGCAAGTACTATAGGCCAGTTATTGCATATCAGTTGCACCTGAATGATTACAGTTTTCTACTAGCTGCATGCTGATGTGGCTCCTCCTGGTCTCCTCCTCCTCCTCCTGCTCCTCCTTCTCTTGCTGCCTCCGGCAACTTCAACATCAGCGCGACTTCAACTGGCTGCTACTCTTACGGTACTAATTACGACGATGGCATCGACGACTCGCCGCACCACGAGTCTGATAGAAGTGATGGCATGCAGTTGCAATCGTCATAGCTTGCATAGTACGTACTCAAGGTTTCGGGTTTGGTGCTTTGGGTTAGGGAAGTACTCAGGGTAGTCGGTAGTCGGACATCATGTTGCCGCGACCAGTCGCGTTGACGATGGAAATCCTTCGTGATTGTTATTTGGCAGAGGTCGTGTTCGAGCTTATGGCTGCGATGCCTCTTGGCATATTATGTCCGAAAGTTCTGCCTGGTTGCACACAGCCCCCAACGAAGAACCGGCAGCCCGAAATCGTTAATCCGGAGTGGAGCAGCATTTTGCTAAGTCGACGATCATAGGCAGAGTAATATAGGGGCCTAAACAGTTTTCAATACTATTCTGGGATTCCTTGTTATAACTATAGTACTAAATCATACCTCGAAATGTTGTTGGAATTTGCACGGCCCCTGTATTAGGCCTCCGCTTGAAGATGTAGGAATTTAGGAGTTTTGACTTAAAAGATCCTCTGTCCCTAAGCCTTAACGGTTTAGGGTTT